ATTTGAAAAAATATACGGATAAAAAAAAATGCGCACGATGTTTAGAGACCTAATACACTGCGTTTCATAATTATAGGTCCACCCTAAATTTTTGCTACCCCAAAGTTGCTGTGCATTTTTTGGAAATGCTGCTATCACCATTAGATTCCTCATCACGGAAAACCTTCATAGTGTTTTTCTGACAAAGTTCCCCCTCAAGTAACCCAATTAACTTTTTCAGAACGAATTTTCACCGTTTCATGAATATCGGGCCACTCATAAAAAGTTTCCATTTCTCATGATCCGTGAAGGGAATGAGGGAAGCGGGGATATATGTGAGCTTAGTCGACGTCGAGTTTGCCATACCTCGTATTACTCGTATCTCTTCCCAGTGATAAGCTCAAACCAGAGCCCTTACTGAAGTTTGATGGCTGAGAAGCAGAACTGCCTCCCATGTCGGCCGGCTCATGATGCATAAGCAACTATGTGCGAAATCCCGGTCTGTGCGGGAAGAAGAGTAGCCTTGGTAAATAATGACAGCGTTTCATTGAAAATCAAGAGGAATTGGGCGTCTTCTGTCGAATTGGATAAGGCGTCCGAACAAAGTCCGTGCTGAAATGCGGCCTTCCGTAAGCAAAACCACCGTGTTGTGAATAAGCCAGCAGAGCAATGACATCTTCAGCGGATTGAAGAAGCGCGTCCCAAGATTATTTGAGCGCTACAAGATCGCACGTCTCCATTTCTAGGTGGAAAAGGGCTCAAGTTAATGAACGAAGGTGTGGCTGCCAAGACCCTTCGTGATCTTGGACTCACCTCCTCGTTTCATGCTACAGGTGATCTGGAATCGGCGTGAAAAAGTTTATTCTAAGTGGATCTGATGGAAAATGAGGGTACAGGAGGGTTCCGTGAAAATCGCAGATGGTTTCGAAGTAAGGTAATTTTGGCGGAGAATTCCTTGTGGTTTGAGGCACCTTTGAACGACTGAGCGGCTAGAGCTCGTATTTGTTTCCTTTCACGAGGATTCCATAGGGTATCGTTAAGTCCTTCTGAAGCGACTTTTACCATCTTTTCGACAACAGCCCTCTCGAACCTTGATTTTTACGCACGATAACGCAGCTGTCCATGCCGGTCCTTACACGCCAGATGGAAGTGCAGGAAAAAATGTGGCAGTTATCTATTGGCCACCATGTTATATGAATCAGATTCCAATAGAGAATCATTGGGCCTTAATTGTTATAAAGTTCCACAGCAAAGTAAAGCAAAATGGAACAGCCGAAAAGCTGAAAACGTCGATCATCGGCGCCAGACGAATTTCGATCCTACTGTAATAGCTAATTTGGCTACCAGCATTTCAAAACGTATTATTGTGTTCCTTATGATTATTGGGGTCATCCCATTATTGAATTTTCGTGACGTTTTTTCGTTATAGTAAAATCTCTCGACAAGTGATGTGTAGTCATATTTGCGAAACGGTGAAAATACGTTCTAAGGAAGATATTTTAATAATTCTGAATCGAGATTTCTCCAAAAATCGAGTATCAAGGTTTTTCGTTATGGGGAAACTATTGGTAATAGCGGCATTTCCCAAAAATGCGCAGCAACTTTGGAATAGCAAAAATTAGGGTGGACCTATAATTATGAAACGCAGTGTAGTAGTAAGGCAAAATTTTCACAAGGAAAGGGCTGCACTTGCAGAGAGCTTCCACAATTTCCTACCACAACTAAGCCTTCATTCTTCTCCTGCCCCTCATGTCTGGTGAGAGGGGCCGTCCTGTTCGAATAAGTATGCATAGTGAATCGCATGAATGCAGTATGAACAAAAACTAAGTCGGAGGTCACGGCTAATGAAGATCACGGAGAACAACCATACCTCTTCACAGTACTTTTCACTAATCCTGTACAGACAAGGTGAGCGGTTTTTTGGATGGCGGACATGGTAGAGGCGACTTTCGGAAGGGAATTTTCTGTAATTTGAAGGATAACTGAGATACTTCCTTATTATCACCTTCAAAATAACCTTTAGCAATGACAAATTTTCTCTCATAGCTTGCATCAGATGACGGCGGTCCCCTAGTAGGGATATCAGCTACTACTAAGTCACTGGATACGTCATTATCACTTTTTACAGTAGCTCTAGTCTGTCGCACCATCTGAGTGAAAAAATTCCTTATACAATTCAAGTTTGAAACAAAACGCTGCAAAAAGCAGCGTCAAAATGTCACAGTTCAAACTATGTATGGATACTGTTCTGAATCAGTTACCAAACAAACAGATGGGGAAAAACTCCACTTTTACTTCTGCGAAGAATCCCAAGTTCATAATACGGAAACAGAGATAAAGATTTTCTCTCATATAGTACATTCTAAGAAGCAATTTTCGTGGAGCATTTGGAAACCGCGGGATTTAAATCTCACTCATCATCTCTCCAACGGATGTCGGGTTTATGTTAGTAAGGTATTCAACATGCCTAATATTAGCTGAATTGTATACTTGCGTGAAGTTTTAATAGACGGTTACTGACTATGGTGATGGTCGGAATGGTAGCGAATGAAACACGGATCGAGAAGAGCCTAAGCATTGGTAAGATATGAAAGCATCTTGGAACGGATCCCAGAGAGTGATAAGCGGACAGAAATACTGAGGAGCTTTTACTTTGTAAACAACCAATCTAGGAAGAAATTATGACGGAAATACTCAGTGGATAACACTATGAAGTACTAGCTAGTAAGAAACTCTGAATGCTATATGCAAATACTTACGTGAGTAAATACCTGCACTAAAAACTAGACCGTTTCCTTGCGGCCGACGGTCACCAAATACATGAATAAAACAATCCGTCCTCGCCGCTATACCTCCTCTTTTTTGGATAGAGAATTTTTTTTTAATTACCTTGGGTGGGCTGTGAGAACCCTTACTTGTTCATAATTTCCATAGTAAATATGAAGGATGTACGCCCGCCCTTTTTCTTCCCTTGAATTCAAAATGGGAAATGGAAAGAATAATGTTCCTCACGCTTTTCTTTGTAACCTCGCATTGCACCTTCCAACTCAGCCTATCATGCAGTGGCAGAATGGTCGGATCTCCTTTGCTCCGGAGACCGATTTGGACCAGCTATGCTCTCCCGTTAAAGCAACTCGCTCGAGATAACTGCTGTGTAGTCACCGCTATGGTAAATTATTAAGCTCGGCTAGGACTCCTTAGGAGTAGACCGATGTCACACGAGTGCGGATGAGTGCGTTTACGAAGTGAGAGTTGCGTGGCAGACGCACACAGAGCTCATTGTCAGGTCGGGAAATGCCTTCCAAAGTAAGGCATGGGGCTCCTTCTGCTTAAGTGCTCGATTCAAAGGCATGGGTCGGGATTAGGCGATCAAAGAACCACTGTCCATACTATGACTGGGTCTGCAACCATAGAGGTGATGCCGCGCTCGTGACTCGAAACCGCGCGGCTATAACAACCCTGGCCTAGCATTTAGGACGACGTGAGCTATGACCGCCCACCGCCGGAAGTGGTGCGTGGCTGGCATAAGGCGTGAAATCAGCTGGGTTGATTGCCGTATCAGCTGCTTTCACTGGGTTGGCAAGTCCGAAAACTCGTTCGACATGCATTCCTCCTAAGCCAGCCTCCTTTCCCGCTTGGGGAGAGAACTTATTTTACGGTCTTGTCCACGGCTTCCTCCACTTTTTTCTTACTGGGGTTCCATTTCGCATCTCTGCACTCACTTCCAAACGCCAAAATACCCCAACTCGATCCCGAGTTGTTGCCTTTACCCACTGCAAACATCTCCTTCACTACAGCAATGAAGGCGCTCCAGTCTGCTGTGATCAATGGAGAAGACTGGTGGTGAAACTCCAAGCTATCCGCACAATTCGAAAATGTGCATATTCTTCATAAGGTCGAGACCATTTCGAAGATGGCGCAACTGTAGATTTCTGAGACTCAGTTGAGAACTCTTGACTTCATCCACAGCGCTGCGCTGACTGTAATCTCCCGGGAAGCCATCTGTTTTGCTTGCTCAGCAGTCACCTGGCCAGCCAAAGTTGCATTTCCCTCGAACTCGACCTCCCCGTCTTTTCCCCTCTAAACCGCTTTCCTCTATGGGTGAGAGATTCTCTTTGATGCTCATTGGCAGAATCACTGGAGCGATGATGCATATGAATAGACAGTGCATGTTTTGACATAAATTTAACTTGAAAAAGTCCAAAATCAGCACGAATTTTCGAGACCCCGATAATAACCGCAGGTTTCCTGTTTATGAGTTAATCACTCCTTTTTAGATTGTTAGTGTTGGCGATTCTTTTCGGTCATGGTTCTACGGTGACAGTGTTGTGTCAGACGGGTTAATTCGATTGTTTTCTCCCATACATCCGTTATTTCTTGCCATACCCTACTTCATGAATTCAAAGGTATGTATCTTTTCTCACAGGTTCATGTTCTTTTGTCCAAAACACAAAATTCATTATTCCAGAAGGTGTTCAAGGAGCTTGATGAGATTATTTGTGATCCTGAATATCCCGCTATAGGGCTACTTATGAAAAATGAGCAGTTTTTGAAAAACGTTGATAATATTTGTGATTCAAAAGGTCAGAATTTGATAATTGACGCCTTACTGGCAAGACATCATTGGCATATTTCAGAAGTTTGCGACGCAAAGGTGTTCCGTTTTAATGAGAGCAAAGCTCTTGAATGGATTGCTTTTCGTTTTCAGCGGCTTAGAGATGCTCTTGTGGAGGAAGGCAGTCTACACAAGTTAATTACTTCAAACAGTTGGTGTATCTTTTTTAGTTTTACTTTTCGATTACAGTTGAGTTATTTCCTCCTTTAGCTAAGCTCACCAACTCGCAATTTTTCTCGTAGGTGAGGTGCTTGATCGGTACTCCTTCGGCTTATTGTCTGACTACATGAATCCTGAATTGACTGCACTGGCAAAGGCACATCTCTCAATACAAGATCCTGCTAATAATGAGAATGAACGCGTAGACATGTCAATGAAAAGAAAAGCTGAAGAATCCTTTGAAGATATCGTTCAGAAACCGGCTAAGGTAGGTTATCTACAGTTGTTTTATACCTGCGCAGCAGCGCAAACGAGAGAATGAGCTGGAGAGTGAGAGTTTGCATCTCATTAGCCAACTCAACTCACATGAGCTCAGTGCAATTCCAATGTCAGAAGACTGTATTACAGAAGCCGAAAGAGTCGATAATAATGAAGAAGCTGCAACAAGCTAGCAAGGGCACAAAGTCTATTAATAATTTCTTCACTAAGAGAACTTAAATCATTTGTTTG